CACCCCCCACTGTGTACCCTCCCAACAACCCTCTAACGCAGTAGCGGGAGCGCTTGGCCTGAGCCAAGAAGGACACCAAGCTGACAGCGATATAAAACATTGCCTCGCGTAGGAATTCAACTTAAGCAAACAGACGGGAGGAACAGAAGGAAAAAAAGGACGGCGGTGAATTCATTTTTGTTTTTGTTTTTTCAAGATCAATGCGCTGTGTGAGCTTCCGAATGAAAATCTAAAACCTGTCGTTACATGCACAGTACAACCGGGCGGGCATCCCAGTTGCAGATCAGTGCACACAAAATGGCTGCCGTCAGTGAACGGGTGGCACAGCTCTCAAAACCCTTCCCCGCTGCCTGCCTGCAGAGAATGAGAGCAGTCTGTTGACGCACCTGCCAATCATTTGCCACAGCTGCAAATTGTACCGGTGTTTCAGGCTGTGTCCTCGGTGCTGTCTGCTAATTAACCCTGAGTGCACCATTTGCTTTTTTTTGTGAATCGAGCGTGAGACTTTTTTTAGGAAACCTTTTTTAAAAACCGCACGTGGTCTGAAAGAGAAAGGAGGTTTTCCTCGTGCGCTCGCTGTTTGAACTCTAGCCAAAGACCAAATGTCGGCTCAGTGCAGCACTCTCGCTCTCTGGTTAGGAGGTTGTGGGCCAGGCTGGAGGTGCGCCTACCATCGGCGGTCAAGCCTTCAGCCTTTTTGCCCCCACCCTTTGAAATTGCATCCTACAGACCCTTCGCCTCACCCCCTCCCTTGCCTCCTTCACGGCAAGTCTCAAGATCCTCCTCTTCGACCGCGCCTTCAATCACCCTCCAACCCCTAACCTCCTTGCTCTCCACCTCTCCTGATTACAAGCCTCAGCTTGGGTGCAAATTCCTGACTGTCCAGCGCCTTGGGATGTTCTCCTAATGTAATTTGTTGCTGTTATATCGAATGCTGGGATTATTATAATGATGATGATGCCACCGAAACATAGTCCAGGATACAGTGCATAGTTTGGGACACGGCACGTCAAGCCAGGATGGTGAAAGGTGAATTAGATGCACCGTGGTCTTCTTTCGCCAGCAAATGCTTATGTTCTTATATCCCACACAGAGCCACGAGGGGGCTTTAATGGAAGATTTGTTACCTCTTGATTTGCACTGCCTGACTTTACCCATTGAGGCCACGAGATGTGGCTGTTTTCCCATAATCAGGACGTTGGCTCTGTAAATATTTGCTCATTGCTGGAGGGCCAGGCAAGCAGCCTTAGGTGGCCTCTTGCTCACAGACATTTTTTAAAAATTGAACTGTGCAGCAAAAAAAATCCTAGCGCACAGACACACACTGAGGTATTTCTCGGTATCAAAACCATCGAATAAAACCCAACTTCACTGCGGCTTGGCACTGTGGTGCTGTGATCGTGCGTGTGTACGTTTTAAACAACCCTTTGTTTCACATCTGGGAGTCTTAGCTCTCAGCTCTAAGGCTTTCTAATAACGGTGGCTATATATTCTGATTTATTAACGCTTTAAGGGAGCGTGTTTCAAAGAAATGTCGGAGCGAGGTGGGGACGGGTGGGGGCTGGTGTGGGCGGGGGTAATCCCAATAAGCTTTTGGGGAGATGCGATGCCAAGGCAGAAAGCCCTGCTGGTTTGCAGAGCACTCTGACCTATCGATTATCCCACATATGTACCTTTCTACAAAGGGGAGATACACACGGCTAGCTAACACACAGCCCTGTCTGGGTCTCAGCTCCTTCTCCTCGCTCCCTTTGGGTCCTGCAAGATTTTAGAGAGTTGCCTTTGTAAGAGGATTGAACTCTGCAACCTTTCACCTGGGACCTCTGCGCCTGGTTTAGCCACAGGCTTTTTTTTCTGTCTCTCACTCTCTAAATGCCTCCCCCCTCCCCACCTTCCTTTCTCTCTCTCTCTCTCCCTCTCCTTCCCTCCCTCCTTCTCCGCCTGCTTTAATAAAACACAAAATTGGCTCCTTTCAAATAGAACCCAACAGCACTGTAATGAAGAATCAAGTAATCTGCTCAAACCCAGCGCCTCACCATGCAACGAAACCCATTTGAGATATTCATCTCGAATGCGAGCAGCGAGACAGTTATTTATACTGCACGCCAAACCAGCACAGAGGGAACCATTATTTCTGTCTGACACTAAGTTGGGTCTGTGCCAATACCGTTGCTGGGCAAAAGTGGGACTGACTGAGCTTGTAAAACAGATTGCAGGGGAAGGGGGGATGGGGGGGGGAGAACACAAGTGGAGTAGATTAATCCTAGCTCAGCGTTATTTTCGTTTAAAGCCGCACCATCTATATTTTGTCTTAAAACTAAAGGCGATTTGACCTCTCAAGCTCTCAGCATTCCCACGACTTTCATTTTTATTCCTGGTTTGCTTCCCCAGGTGCGGTTTTATTCAAATCACAAGGTCCAGACTGACAAATTAAGTGTTTTATTTTGTCATAATACTAAGTTGCTGCATCTTAATAAGAAGAAAAAATAATAATCCTTGCATCTGATATAGCGCCTTGTCATGTCGTTGAGATGTCTCAAAGGGGTTCACAGGATATTTTGTGGGCGAAATGCAACAGCCAATTGTGACAGCAGTGTCCCACAAACAGTCGTGGATTGAGTTCCCTTATTGAAGGGAACCAGGTAAAAATCTAAAAGGAGTCAACTACATGGGTATAAGAAAAGGGAAGATAAGTGGGACTGAAAGGATAGCTCTTAAAAGAGTCAGCGCAAACACGATGGGCCGAATGGTTTTCTTCTGTGCTGTAAATCTTTATGGTTCTACTCCAGTCCCAATTCTTTAGTAATTATTTATTTCCGAATGTTCTTTCTCGCTCTTCAAAATAGTTATCCAGTTCCTTTTGCAACTGATATAGCGCATTCACAGAATATAGTGTAAAGCAAATTGATTGTGTATTTTGTGGCCGAAACGCAACAGCCAATTGCATACCGCAGTGTCCCCACAAACAGTCGTGGATTGAGTTACCAAATTATTCTTATTTTTTTGAAGGGATTATTACCCCCGGAAAGGTGATCCGCCAATCGATTAACAACCAGGTTCCTTGTGACAATAGCGTTCAATACATTCTGGAGTTTTTTTCCCGTTTGAACTGTGCAAGTCGATGCAGTTTTAGATTTTTATGTTCTGTTTTCACTTCATTTCTCCTGAGCAAAGCTCCGTTCGGTCTGGTCAAGATTCAAACCACATCAATATGACTCAGTTGGCTCTCGCTTGGTGCACGAGGGTCTGAATTAGCTCCGCTCAACAGACTCGGTAACCACAACAAACCTTAAAGGCTGTTTTTGTAACGTTATTTAATGTTCTCATTGGCCTTGTCGCTCTCTTGCTGAGCGAATGGAAGATGCGTCTGCAGAAATCCACTCAGCGTTTACCCTACCTTGTCCCTATTTATATAAAATCATACGCCTGATAATAATCCCTTAAGAAAAAAATAAATAAATTGGTCGCTTCAATCCACGAGTGTTTGTGGGACGCTGCTGTGCGCAATTGGCTGCCGCGTTTGCCCACAAATATACAGTCAATTCACTTTACAGTGTGTTCTGTGAAGCGCTTTGGAACGTCCTCTCCACGTGAAAAGCGCTATATCAAATGCAAGGATTATTATTATTACATATCCAATCCCGTATGAAAGTTAGTATTGAATCTGTTTCCACCACCCTTTCAGGCAGTTTTTTTCCACTTCAATTCCTGTTCCTCCCCGGAGGCAGTGGCCGATGGCGGGTGGGGTCACGTTTGGGGTCTGTCTGAGCCAAGACAGCGACCCCCAAAACGAACACAAAGGCTGCAATCGTCACTCCCAGTTTGCGCCATGCCACACTTTATTCTCTGTTGACACAGTCAGTGATGTATCTATCAGACCTTTATGACTTCCTGAAGCTATGCGCGCCTCCTCCCATTTCCCCTGTTCTGCTACCCTCAGGCCTGCTTCATGCCCCCACCTCCGGAATCCCCCAACATTGGCAAATGAGCTTGCAGCCAATTTATTTGTCTCCCTCCCCCACCTGAGCTCTGGCATTAGGATGGCTATGCTTATTGTCCCTGGAGGAGGGTGAGAACAAACAGATAGGGTTCCCAACCCTGTCCGCTATCCAGAGCCCCTTCCCTCTCCCCACACCCCCTCCCCCGCGCGTCCCCCACCGGTTAGGGGCTGAATGTTCTCCACCTGTTCCTATCAGGCTTGGGATCTCTTCAAATAGCCTCTCGAGGCTCACACATGAATAGATGGATGGCCCTGGATTTGTAACGCCTTTCACCTCCTTTTGGGAACACTGTGACCTGTAACTCGGCTCCAATTATTGATTATAATAATTTGGTCACTCGTTCCACGACTGCCGTCGGCAATTGGCCGCCGCGTTTCGCTCACCAAATACCCAGTCAGTTAACTGTACAGTGTATTCTGCGAAGCCCTTTTGAGTCGTATCAACGACGTGATATCAACTGCAAGGATTTATTATTATTATTATTATTATATATTATTATTGTATAATTATTCTCCCGCGCAGGTCATGTTGTTAACCATATGGTTCGGTTCTCCCGTCCGCGCTGGAGCCTCTGGCGATCTGGGACTCCACCTTGCGTGAGTGGTGGGGGGGGGCGATAATAATTCAAGTTGTTGTTGTTGTTGTTGTTGGGGTGTGACCTTTGCCCCCCTCCCCCACATGGACTGCCCCTTTAAATCCACCAGTGCGTGACGTGCATTGGAAATTTCCATCGCTGTGCACTGATGTGATGTGACGTGAGCGTCAGGCTACAGCTGGCAGCCAATCAGCGCAGAGCAGGTGACCTGGCGGAACGCGGTTCTGACCAATCACAGCGCAGCGTGCCAGCCCCCGCCCCCCCCTCCCTTCGCCGGCTCGGATTGGCTGTTTGGCAACAGGCCCGCCCTAATCTTCGCGTCACGCGGAATCCGCGCTCGTGATTGGGTGCGGGGCGGGAGAGCGCGAAGGGGATTGGCGGGGTGGCGGGTGATTGGCAGTTGGGCTGAGGGCCCGCGGCGTCGGTGGCGGTTGGGAGGAGGTGTCCGTCCCCTTAGTAACCGGCGCGGCGGCGCTTCCTCGCGGGAGGGAGGGAGGGAGAGAGAGAGAGAGGCGACGCGAGGGGAGTCGTTAGGAGCTGAGGCGCCTCCGGGAGGTGAGCTCTGAGGAGGCCCAGAGCGCGGGGCCGTCAGGTGTAGTGACTGTCTGTCTGTCAGGTGTAGAGAGTGTCTGGTAGTCTGTCGGTCGGTCAGGTGTAGTGACTGTGTGCTGTCTGTCAGGTGTAGTGACTGTCTGGCAGTCAGGTATAGTGACTGACTGTCTGTCTGTTTGCTGTCTGGCAGTCAGGTGTAGTGACTGTCTGTCAGTCTGTCAGGTGTAGTGATTGTTTGTCTGTCAGTCAGATGTAGTGACTGTCTGTCTATCTGTCTGTCTGTCGGGTGTAGTGACTGTCTGTCAGTCAGTCAGGTGTTGTGACTGGCTCTGTTAGTCTGTCAGGTCTAGTGACTGCCTGTCAGTTTGATATAGTGACTGTCAGATATAGTGACTGTCAGTCAGTCAGGTGTACTGACTGTTTATCTGTCTATCTGTCCGGTGTAGAGACTGTCTGTCAGTCAGATGTAGTGACTGTCTGTCGAGCGTAGTGATTGTCTGTGTGTCAGGTGTAGTGACTGTGTATGTTAAGCGCTCCGAGTTGCAACCACCTGTGAAGGGTACTATATAAATGCAAGTTGTGGTGACTATTAGGGGTTCCCACGGAGTGCTACTGTCAGGTCCATAATAATAACAATCCTTCCTTTGATACAACGCCTTTCACGTCAGCAGGACGTCTAGAAGCGCTTCACTGGGTACACTGTGAAGTGTAGTAACTGTTACGTGGGCAAATGCATCAGGCAATCAAAACAACAACAACAAGATTCCATTTATAGAGCGCCTTTCACGTCGGGAGGACGTCCCAAGGCGCCCAAACTTGCATCAACTTGCTTGTGTCAGGATGAGATGGGGAGTCCGGTCCAGTCTGGAAGAGATGAAAGTTCCATTGTAAATACCAGGGGAATGACAACAACTTTTACATACACCCTTCATGCGCGTCTCATCTCAGGCAATTAACAGTGGCGGAGCCTGACGCCTACCTGGGGAGAGGGCGGGGGTGACTGGAGGCACGGACCAAGAGAAAGGTCTCCGGATATGATCTGAAGACGGGGACGGAGGAGACACGATGGAGGATTGTTATGAGGATGGATGGAGAATTTCATAATTTCGCGGCAGAGTGGCTGAATACGCGGCCGACGATAGTGGAGCTGAGGGCATGAGGGACGTGCAGGAGGCCAGAGTCAGCTGAGGGTAGGCGTTGGGTAGTGAGTGGAATGGGGTGCGAGTAGGTATGGAGGTACCAGGACATGCAGTGGCTTGTAATTCGGTGGTTACGAAAGGGATAAGGTTTGCTTTTGCTTTGCAATGTTACGTGAGCTGTTCCATTAGATCACTGTTGCGTAGTCACACGCAGCTACCTGCTGTTAATGTCTATTTGAACAGATCAAGCTCAGTGCAAAAGAGAGGCCACAAGTGGGTGACTAAATTAATGTGTTTGATGGCGGCTTAATACACAAATCTGAACTGCCGCTTTACCTTCTTCTGTTATAACAGGGTATGAGATGGATATCGTACTGAATTATGCCGACCACTATGTCTTCACCCCATTCGTGTACCCCACCTCCTGGCCAGAGGATGGTGCCTTGCGCCAGATAATCAGCCTCCTCATCGTCACTAACCTGGGAGCTTCCGTCATCTATATTTTGTTCGGAATGTTTAGTTATTATTTCATCTTTGATCACAGGTTGATGAAACATCCTCAGTTCTTGCCGGTAGGTACTGCGGCTGAGAGAAGATTGGAAGTGGGGGACAGCGGGAAGATGTCTGGTGGATTTTATTTTGGGCGGGGGGGGGGGGGAGGGGGGTTGCGGAAAGAGCATAATAATAATAAATAATAATTCTTGCGTTTGGTATAACATCTTTCACATTGTGAGGAAAGCCCGAAACGCTTCACGGGATTTACCGTGCAGTGTAGTGACTGTGCATCTGTTGACGAACGCGGCTCTCCAATTGCACACAACAGCGTCCCACAAACAGCCATGAAACAAATGACTGACATGAGCCATAAATTTGGACTTGGAATGAAATGAAATGTTGCAACAGTGGCTATGGAAGTCACGTCCCATTGCACAATTAGACAAATAGCCTTTGTACACAAGAATGGTGGGAGAACAGGGCAATGAGATTAAGAGTTTTGGCTCCAGCACGAGGAACAAGCACCAGCACCGGCTCGATCAGCACATTGTTTCAACAGTACTTCCTCTGTGTTGAGAGAAGGAGAATCTTTATAGCTGATGTATTGTTGGAAAGTCATGGATACCGTCACAGGCTGTTAGTGTTATTTTCACAATTCCCATTATTAATGGGATTAATTACAGGTCATATCTTTCAGGTGGAAGCAGGGTAGACGGTGTGACTGAACCTTCCTTTTAACACATTATCTATCCTCTCTCTATTTTCCTTGTAAACACTGCGTACATTGTGCCTCACAAAATCAAATCTTCCCATTTCCGATTTTAACTGTAACCTTAGCAGCATCTTTATTTACTTAAAAAGATTTGACGTCTCCTGTCCTGTGCTGCTCGTTAATCATTCCCACCATGGGTTGCCAAACCTTCACATACTGCTCTCTGCAACTCCTTTCCACTATCTCTTTACCTTGCTCCTTCTCCCCCTAGCTTCAAAACCTGATTTAAAACCCTCCTTGGACATTTACTTTCATCAACACCCTTAAGTTATTTATTGGAAGGAGGGGGAAAATCAAGTTACTTAAAAAGAAATTGCAACTAATTGGATATGTGGATCGGTACTTAAAAAAGAAAAATCTGCAGGTCTATGGGAAAAGAACGGAGGAATAGGACTAGTTGGTAGCTCTTTCAAAGAGCCGCACAGGCATGATGGGTTGAATGGCCTCCTTCTGTGCTGTAAGATTCTTTGATCATTTGAGGAAATGCAGTAAAGTGTCCCTTTCCTTCTCTTTTCCCCTCCTCACTGTAGAACCAAGTGCGACGTGAGATACATTGTGCCATGCATTCCATGCCATGGATAAGCATTCCAACCGTCGCACTGTTTTTTGCTGAGGTCCGCGGATACAGCAAGCTCTACGACCATATTGAGGATTCTCCTTTTGGTGAGTTTGGTGATTAAGTGCTCCGAGATGCTGCCCCGTGTGAAGAGCACTGAATGAAGTTGTTGTTGTTTTCAGTTGCAAAATGTAACTTATCAAAATGTAAGTTCTTTTTCGCTGGCTGAGCGCTGCACCCAGCAGACATCCAAAAACCTGTGCAACTGTCAACCCAGGCTGTTTATCCTGCCCTGGTTTCATCCAAATCTTCTGTCTTGTCTTCTGTCAGGCTGGTTTGGGGTGATTTTAAGCATGGTCTCCTTCCTCTTCTTTACCGACATGTGCATCTACTGGATCCATCGATTCCTTCACCACAAACTCATCTACAAGGTAAGAAGTGCATCGCTTTAAACAGCTGTGTATTTATGGAGTGTAGCTGGGAAAGGCTCTGGATTGATTTTATAAGTTGTCAGAGTTTATTTTGTAAAAGTGCTGTTCCTTATATAAATAACTATAATAATAATAATCCTTGCATTTCATATGGCGCCTTATCACATTTTAGACGTCTCAAAGCGCTTCACAGAGTATACTGTAAAGTGAATTCACTGTATATTTTGTTGGTGAAACACAGTACCCAATTGCGCACAGCAGTGTCCCACAAACAATCATGCATTGAGTGACCAAATTATTATTATTGATTTGTTTTTGAAGGGATTATTACCCCCGGAAAAGCAATCCGTTAATCGACTAACAAACGGGTTCCTAGTTACCACTAGGTGAACAGAGGCATGTGGTGTTAGGAAACTTACCTTTGCCCTGCCTGAGAATCAAACCCAGGTTCTCTCACTTGCGAGGCGAATGCTCTAACCACTGAGCTACAGGACTCCATAGCTCCATAGCTCTAAACACATGACTCTAGACACAATACATGTGATGAGAAGGCTCAGACTATTTGTCATCAATGAAACCTTCCCACCAAGTGGTCACAGATTTTGGTCCCAGGGAGGAAAGCTTTTTGCCAAAGCCTTTTCTTGATTGAGTTGCTAGATACACTGAGTACTGAGTATCCACAGTGAAGAGTTCTGGAACATGTCTGAGTGCCCTGGTGAGCTACGATCTAGTGGACTATTGATAGAGCAGCTTTTGGGTCAGAGGAACCATCTCTTATTGAAGTGGTGGTTGAGATATCTCATGTCTTGTTTAGTTGAGTTCTGATTCACGCTGTTTTGAATGCATCTGCATCAGTCTGGGTATACTCTGAGATACTAGAAGTGAGCAGGAGAAAAGCTTGCAAAAAAGGAGAGAAGTAAGATGAGAAACTAAGGAAGGATTTGTTCTTGAGAGAAACAGCCAAGTTTCATTTATCATCATTAGGTTTCATCAGTTTGATCCCTCCTGCTTTTGTTCATATATTACCTTAATTTCCTGTGCACTTTGGATATTGTAGTATGAGCCTGAAGCAGACCAGGTTGTGGATGTTGTTGCAAAATAACAACAGAGTTGTCTCTCTTGGTGGGGTCTGGGCCCTGCACGTTGTGTAGCCAGGAGGGCTGGTGAACACCCTCCATCAAACCTCCATCTTAGGCATCTCCATGACATGCCGTTATTTTTCTCTCCCAGACTTCCAACTTTGATGTTATCCTGTATTTTCCCCCCCCACCACAGCGGGATCATGTGCCAAAAATTCTCATAGTCTTGACCTAAGGCCGGTGACAAGAAGATAAGGTCACAATGAATTTGGGGTTACAGGAATTTTAATGCTTAATTCAAGCGCTCTGGGACACTGCCCTGCGTGAGGGGTGCTATAAAAATGCAAGTTGTTGTTATTCGTTTTATGTGCTAGTTGGTAATTCTTTCAAAGAGCCGCCACAGGCAAGATGGGCCGAATGGCTTCCCTCTGTGCTGTAAGATTTATGATTCTATGAATTGATCATTGGGCTAGCCAATTCAGATTTTCCGGGAGACCCAGGAAACTTATAGTGATTTGTGTTTTAAAAAAAGTAGTTCAAGTAGCTTCAGAAATGTACTTGTCCTTTGGTCCCATTTGACGATTGAGTTTTAGGTGATTGCCAATTGTTTTTTGTATTGTCTATAGTATTTCCACAAGCCCCATCATGTTTGGAAGATCGCTAGCCCATTTGCGAGTCATGCTTTTCATCCAGTGGACGGCTTTCTGCAGAGCATCCCGTACCACATCTACCCGTTCCTCTTCCCACTGCACAAAGTGGTCTACCTGGGCCTCTATATCTTAGTCAATATTTGGACCATCTCCATCCATGATGGAGACTACCGAGTCCCAAAGCTATTCGAAGATTCCATCAATGGCTCAGCCCACCACACCGATCACCACCTATTCTTTGACTACAATTACGGGCAGTACTTCACGCTGTGGGACAGAATTGGAGGCTCCTACAAGTACCCTTCATCGTTCGAGGGCAAGGGCCCACATGACTACCTCAGGAAGATGGAAGCAGAAGCCAAACTGAGGAACGGCTCTCCCAGCAGTGGCCGCCCTGGTGACAGCACATCCAACGGAAAAGCTTCCAAAGAAGAATGAATCCAAGGGATTTCTGATCATTCCCTTTCGTTGATTCCAAAGAGGGGTCTTTTACCCGCTGAACAAAACGCTGTAACAATACATAATCCAGGCAAACCACTGCTGTCTGCATTCTTATATTTAATAATTCAATGATATCTAATCAATACAAGCAGCAGCAGCAAATTACCACTCCCCTGAGAGGTTGGGGAGCCTAAGTTCACCCAGCTCTCTGCAGATCTGTTGAAAGGGCAGTTTTCGGCAAAGAATTTGCAGATGCACAATCACATGCAGATTCATTGCAGAAGATCTGCAAGAGCCCCAAGCGTCAGGGACTCGGCATGTTACTAAGTCAACAACTTTATTCTTGCTGTGGGCTTGAATCGTATTCTCAGTACTCTTGATTAAAGCATGTAACCGTGGATGGTGTGTCAGATTAGGAATTGCGTTAGTTGGAGGGGGAATGGTTGTTGTGGTTTTGACAAATTCAAACAGCACTTTTTAATGGATGCATTTTCTGTGCCATAGGATTGTCAAAAGGTAGTGCTTTGTGTTTTAAGAACGTTTTAAAAATAACGAATGCAATACTGGTATGCTGAGTAGTAATCAATATGTCTAATGAGCAGAATATTTTTGATTGTCTATTTTATCAGTGTCCAAGCCGCCTTCTTTATTTGTACCTTAGGTTGTCCTGTTTACATCCTCATGACATGAAAAATGCTTCAAAAAAGTAATCTTTTGTTGTTGTTCTATCAATGTTCGCTGCCTTTAATACCATGCATAAATGTGTTTTTCTTAGAACATTGCTGCTAATGTGCAAGATTATGAGTGGGGGAGTTGTGGAGAGAGAGACACACACACACAAAATGATCCTCTTGCCTCAATGAATCTAGTGACTTGTGATTGCACAATGCATGAGTAAAATATAGTGAAGGACACTGGGTCACAGACTGGGGCTGAACAGTGGGGCTTGGCTTCAAACCAGGTTGTAACTCGAAATGATTCAAAATGCACTGTTTGGATGGTTCTTTTATCCCATGATTGGCGAGCAAGCGAGAACCCACAGCACGGAACCGCTCCCAGTTCTTATCGAACAACAATCACTACAAGAGCCCACTCTCGGTTGGCCAATGAAGGAATTGAAACTGTTATTTCGTAGGGATCCTTCAGTGGCTGGGGTTGAGAGTTTTATTTTTGCCAAACCTGACCTTGTGGTTCATCAGTCTTCCCTTAACTGGCAGCACCACGTTCATCCTAGTTGTGGAGTCCGTGGAGTATAGTGGTTAGCACGCTCGCCTTGCAAGTGAGAGGTCCCGGGTTCGATTCCCGGTCGGGGCAAAATCTTAGACAAGTTTCCTTTACTCCATACGCCTCTGTTAAACTAGCAGTAAATGGGAACCCGGTTGTTATCAATTGCCGGGTTGCTTTCTGGGAATAGTAATCCCTCAGTCCCCTCCCCCAAAAATGTGGTCCTTCAATCCACAACTGTTTGTGGGACACTGCTGTGCTCATTGGGTACCGTGTTTTGCCACAAAATATACAGTCAATACACTTTACAATATATTCTGTGAAGCACTTTCAGACATCTCAATGACGTGATAAGGCACTATATCAAATGCAAGGATTATTATTATTAAAAAGCAAATCTTGCAAATCCTAAGGCTATTGATGTGGCAGACAGGACACTGAAATCCTAGATTATACAATTTCATTTTAGCAACTAAGATCCCCTTTGGGCCCTGACTGCGGAATTGAATTTAGGGCTTGTCTATGGCACTGTTGATTGGATTGACTACAGATGTGAGCATGATAGAGATCCTACCTTCTATACTGTGCTGCTTTTTAATAAAATGTTTACCTAATGAAAATGTGATGAAATAAAGGGTAAGATTTGGTGTTGACCAGTAACTCAGCTATTTATTCCTGTGTAACACACATTTCTGAAAATATCCTCACATAATGTTTCTCAAATGCGGTTAGTTTATGAAAAGTTTTGAGATGAGGGTGGGAGGAGGAGGGTGAGTGATGTTGAGCACGAGGGGTTGTTTTGCTGCGAGGTAGAGGGCACGTCACCAGAAGCGTGCCTCTTTTTGGGCTGAAATCCATTTTCAATGGAGGCAGAAACAAATCTGCATCTGAGGGGCACCCCACAGGGTCTGTCTGACTCTCGCTCAGCTACCTGGAGGCTTCACGATTTCCAAATTCTTTTGTGAATCTTGCAAAACTAGACTCCAGTGTCATTTGGCCTATTCTCAAAAGCGCTCATTCCTCCACCATGTACCCGCTTAGTGACAGACAGACAGATCTTTACAGGGCACAACAGAGCACTTTTTGCAAAACACGGTTGCTCTCAAGTTTTCCTGTAGAGGGAGAAAAGACACACAAACTGAAATTAATTTGCAAGTTGAATGCTGAACTTGCCCAATATTCTACATCGAAGCTTTGCTGGGAAATAACATTTTTGAGAGACTGACAGAGTACTTGTGTTCTTGTGTTGTCTGAGGATTCGAGAGAGCAGTTCCACAGGGGGGGTAAAATGGAAACTACTTCATAAAAATCAACAGTTCTGATATCCTCTTGCATGTTTCCCACATGTTCTTCCGCTGGATGTATTGTTCCCATTATTTTAGGTGGAAACTGATCTTAATCTGCAAAGTGCCTCTTCACCTTATCAAGGGTTCTGTCAGAGCGGGCGAGTGGGACTGGTAGGTAACTCTTTCAAAGAGCCGGCATAGGCACGATCGGCCGAATGGCCTCCTTCTGTGCGGTAAGATTCTATGATCCTATGATTATTTTGTGCAATGGTTTCTTAGATGCAAATGGCACAACAGGCTGACACACTAGCCATGTAACAACAGCTCTCTCCTCCTCCACCATCACTCATGTGAATGACAAATTTACCTGGAGGATTGCTGGTCAGGACCCCCGAGAGAATGGCTTTGCGAATGCAATCATTAATCTTTAATGTCCACCAGAGGATAGACAGACAGACCTTGGATTCCCGCCGTCATCTGGACAGGGAGTGTCGGCCTGGATTGTGAGCTCAAGTCTTGACATGTGGCTAGACCTCTTCCACCCCACCCCCCACTGTGTACCCTCCCAACAACCCTCTAACGCAGTAGCGGGAGCGCTTGGCCTGAGCCAAGCGGACACCAAGCTGACAGCGATATAAAACATTGCCTCGCGTAGGAATTCAACTTAAGCAAACAGACGGGAGGAACAGAAGGAAAAAAAGGACGGCGGTGAATTCATTTTTGTTTTTGTTTTTTCAAGATCAATGCGCTGTGTGAGCTTCCGAATGAAAATCTAAAACCTGTCGTTACATGCACAGTACAACCGGGCGGGCATCCCAGTTGCAGATCAGTGCACACAAAATGGCTGCCGTCAGTGAACGGGTGGCACAGCTCTCAAAACCCTTCCCCGCTGCCTGCCTGCAGAGAATGAGAGCAGTCTGTTGACGCACCTGCCAATCATTTGCCACAGCTGCAAATTGTACCGGTGTTTCAGGCTGTGTCCTCGGTGCTGTCTGCTAATTAACCCTGAGTGCACCATTTGCTTTTTTTTGTGAATCGAGCGTGAGACTTTTTCTTAGGAAACCTTTTTTAAAAACCGCACGTGGTCTGAAAGAGAAAGGAGGTTTTCCTCGTGCGCTCGCTGTTTGAACTCTAGCCAAAGACCAAATGTCGGCTCTCGCTCTCTGAGTTAGGAGGTTGTGGGCCAGGCTGGAGGTGCGCCTACCATCGGCGGTCAAGCCTTCAGCCTTTTTGCCCCCACCCTTTGAAATTGCATCCTACAGACCCTTCGCCTCACCCCCTCCCTTGCCTCCTTCACGGCAAGTCTCAAGATCCTCCTCTTCGACCGCGCCTTCAATCACCCTCCAACCCCTAACCTCCTTGCTCTCCACCTCTCCTGATTACAAGCCTCAGCTTGGGTGCAAATTCCTGACTGTCCAGCGCCTTGGGATGTTCTCCTAATGTAATTTGTTGCTGTTATATCGAATGCTGGGATTATTATAATGATGATGATGCCACCGAAACATAGTCCAGGATACAGTGCATAGTTTGGGACACGGCACGTCAAGCCAGGATGGTGAAAGGTGAATTAGATGCACCGTGGTCTTCTTTCGCCAGCAAATGCTTATGTTCTTATATCCCACACAGAGCCACGAGGGGGCTTTAATGGAAGATTTGTTACCTCTTGATTTGCACTGCCTGACTTTACCCATTGAGGCCACGAGATGTGGCTGTTTTCCCATAATCAGGACGTTGGCTCTGTAAATATTTGCTCATTGCTGGAGGGCCAGGCAAGCAGCCTTAGGTGGCCTCTTGCTCACAGACATTTTTTAAAAATTGAACTGTGCAGCAAAAAAAATCCTAGCGCACAGACACACACTGAGGTATTTCTCGGTATCAAAACCATCGAATAAAACCCAACTTCACTGCGGCTTGGCACTGTGGTGCTGTGATCGTGCGTGTGTACGTTTTAAACAACCCTTTGTTTCACATCTGGGAGTCTTAGCTCTCAGCTCTAAGGCTTTCTAATAACGGTGGCTATATATTCTGATTTATTAACGCTTTAAGGGAGCGTGTTTCAAAGAAATGTCGGAGCGAGGTGGGGACGGGTGGGGGCTGGTGTGGGCGGGGGTAATCCCAATAAGCTTTTGGGGAGATGCGATGCCAAGGCAGAAAGCCCTGCTGGTTTGCAGAGCACTCTGACCTATCGATTATCCCACATATGTACCTTTCTACAAAGGGGAGATACACACGGCTAGCTAACACACAGCCCTGTCTGGGTCTCAGCTCCTTCTCCTCGCTCCCTTTGGGTCCTGCAAGATTTTAGAGAGTTGCCTTTGTAAGAGGATTGAACTCTGCAACCTTTCACCTGGGACCTCTGCGCCTGGTTTAGCCACAGGCTTTTTTTTCTGTCTCTCACTCTCTAAATGCCTCCCCCCTCCCCACCTTCCTTTCTCTCTCTCTCTCTCCCTCTCCTTCCCTCCCTCCTTCTCCGCCTGCTTTAATAAAACACAAAATTGGCTCCTTTCAAATAGAACCCAACAGCACTGTAATGAAGAATCAAGTAATCTGCTCAAACCCAGCGCCTCACCATGCAACGAAACCCATTTGAGATATTCATCTCGAATGCGAGCAGCGAGACAGTTATTTATACTGCACGCCAAACCAGCACAGAGGGAACCATTATTTCTGTCTGACACTAAGTTGGGTCTGTGCCAATACCGTTGCTGGGCAAAAGTGGGACTGACTGAGCTTGTAAAACAGATTGCAGGGGAAGGGGGGATGGGGGGGGGAGAACACAAGTGGAGTAGATTAATCCTAGCTCAGCGTTATTTTCGTTTAAAGCCGCACCATCTATATTTTGTCTTAAAACTAAAGGCGATTTGACCTCTCAAGCTCTCAGCATTCCCACGACTTTCATTTTATTCCTGGTTTGCTTCCCCAGGTGCGGTTTTATTCAAATCACAAGGTCCAGACTGACAAATTAAGTGTTTTATTTTGTCATAATACTAAGTTGCTGCATCTTAATAAGAAGAAAAAATAATAATCCTTGCATCTGATATAGCGCCTTGTCATGTCGTTGAGATGTCTCAAAGGGGTTCACAGGATATTTTGTGGGCGAAATGCAACAGCCAATTGTGACAGCAGTGTCCCACAAACAGTCGTGGATTGAGTTCCCTTATTGAAGGGAACCAGGTAAAAATCTAAAAGGAGTCAACTACATGGGTATAAGAAAAGGGAAGATAAGTGGGACTGAAAGGATAGCTCTTAAAAGAGTCAGCGCAAACACGATGGGCCGAATGGTTTTCTTCTGTGCTGTAAATCTTTATGGTTCTACTCCAGTCCCAATTCTTTAGTAATTATTTATTTCCGAATGTTCTTTCTCGCTCTTCAAAATAGTTATCCAGTTCCTTTTGCAACTGATATAGCGCATTCACAGAATATAGTGTAAAGCAAATTGATTGTGTATTTTGTGGCCGAAACGCAACAGCCAATTGCATACCGCAGTGTCCCCACAAACAGTCGTGGATTGAGTTACCAAATTATTCTTATTTTTTTGAAGGGATTATTACCCCCGGAAAGGTGATCCGCCAATCGATTAACAACCAGGTTCCTTGTGACAATAGCGTTCAATACATTCTGGAGTTTTTTTCCCGTTTGAACTGTGCAAGTCGATGCAGTTTTAGATTTTTATGTTCTGTTTTCACTTCATTTCTCCTGAGCAAAGCTCCGTTCGGTCTGGTCAAGATTCAAACCACATCAATATGACTCAGTTGGCTCTCGCTTGGTGCACGAGGGTCTGAATTAGCTCCGCTCAACAGACTCGGTAACCACAACAAACCTTAAAGGCTGTTTTTGTAACGTTATTTAATGTTCTCATTGGCCTTGTCGCTCTCTTGCTGAGCGAATGGAAGATGCGTCTGCAGAAATCCACTCAGCGTTTACCCTACCTTGTCCCTATTTATATAGAATCATACGCCTGATAATAATCCCTTAAGAAAAAAAATAATAAATTGGTCGCTTCAATCCACGACTGTTTGTGGGACGCTGCTGTGCGCAATTGGCTGCCGCGTTTGCCCACAAATATACAGTCAATTCACTTTACAGTGTGTTCTGTGAAGCGCTTTGGGACGTCCTCTCCACGTGAAAAGCGCTATATCAAATGCAAGGATTATTATTATTACATATCAAATTCCCGTATGAAAGTTAGTATTGAATCTGTTTCCACCACCCTTTCAGGCAGTTTTTTTCCACTTCAATTCCTGTTCCTCCCCGGAGGCAGTGGCCAATGGCGGGTGGGGTCACGTTTGGGGTCTGTTTGAGCCAAGACAGCGACCCCCAAAACGAACACAAAGGCTGCAATCGTCACTCCCAGTTTGCGCCATGCCACACTTT